CGCTCACGCAGGAAACAGCAAACAGGAAACAGCAAACCTATACATGGAAATTGACCAAAATAAACATCCACCTTTGCAAATCCAGAGATCTTATTTCTCGTTCTATCTTCTAGGAACTTAAGGCTTAAGGCTGTGTTTCACCTCTGTTTCTTTAAACCTCTATAATTCTTTTGTCATACGTCACGCATTCGAAAAATAAACAAGTCCATCAAGGGTAGTAATGGCTGGTCCTTCAGCATCTGATGGCCAGGAATTTAGCTGAGGTTGGCAAACATCCAAATGCAAATGAGGTATATGAGCCTCACCTATTCTATGGCAGCTACCACCATGGGAGCAGCCAGACCAGAGTAATTTGGTTGTTGAGGAAGTAGTACGCTGGTGAAAGAGTGGCGAAGGGGGTGCAAATTATATTGTCTCGGTACAAAAATCACTCCAGATAAATATATGTTAGCCTGCAAGACTGAGAGATACTTAACAATATCTAAGGAGGGTCCCTAAGTCACTCCGCAGAGGAGGGTCAAAGGGCTATCCGCCCTGCAAGTTGAAAAAGCGACCCATACAGACAGCAGCCGTGGCATTAGCGTTAGCACATCTGTATGAGGACCATCTGCGCTTTCGTGAAATTTCATGTATTCAGCTGCACATCAAAAGAGCCAGATGCTCTAAAGACAACTTCCCTGAAAACATCCGTTTAGAAAAAACTCATCCATTTAAAAAATCCATGTTACAAGTTAAGACTGAACAAGGAAAATTAAGCAAGATTGGCTCTAAAGACTTGACCGTATCCCCCAGTCTATGTGGGATCTCATGCTGGCCTTCAGTACAATATTAACAAGTGCCTATGTAGCAAAAAAAAGTCCTTTAAACTGTAGCTGCAACAGGATTTTGCTCTCCTACACCCTGCATAACATTTTGAATGGTCAGCTTTTTTACAGTATAGGACAGAACACTTTTTTTACAGCATAGTATTGGTTGCCACTGGAAGCTCATAATTTCTAAAAAACTGTACTTAGTTTTCAGTTTCTTTCGATAGCTTATTATATTATTTAGTCTGCTCAGAAAACTTCTGTGTCAAGCTGAACCACTTTTTATTTTGCAACAGTAAGCTGAAATTTTGTAATTCAACCACCAATTTTGTCCACCCTGTCATGGACAAAACAGATTAATAATACTTCCATGGTACTGTGGTACTACAAAGTTCCATTTTCAGAAAGATACTGTGTCACTTTCCCAATATAATTATTTTTCTGAAAATATTTGTGAATCATGAAAATTATGATACTAATATTTGCTTCCATTACACTTTTATTTTCAGTTCCACACAAAAATGAAGGAAAAATATATATGAACAAAAAATAAATTGAAATTATTTATCCTAGTTATTTATTTAATATTCAATTATAATGTTTTATTAGCCAAAAGAAATTATTTTGGTCAACTTGAAGACAACAGCTACGATGATAGGGCAAAGGCCTGACTCAGTTCAGCAGGGCTCCATATTTATGAAATAACAGGAAGCTATAGTTGTGGATGGCATTTTATTAGGGCATATAAATTATTTAGCAGGACAAATCTGAATGATATTCAGAAAAAATTATCAATGTTTTCTTTGTTTTATATCAGATTACAACACAACCTTTCCAACAGTAACAATTTCATGGCACAGATTAAGTGTATGATCTTAAACAGATAAGGTCAAATTGGGTAGTATGTCACCACATGACGAAACACCTTGCGATCCCAGTTGGCAAACCCCTAGGCAGACACACTGTCCAGTTCCACCCTCTGAAAGTGCCTATCTGTCTGCCACAGCCAGGTGCTATGTGGGCGTCCCCTTAGGGGAAGGTGCCACATGGCTGTAGTGCCTTAACTGGCACTCCTTCACAATGCACCTGAATATTAATTTCTATATGTGTTACTATAAATTGATCCAAAATACATTACATGGCCAAAAGTACTCTATGTGGACACCAGCTTGTCCAACATCTCAGTTGAGTACAGTAGGTCAGCTCATTGTTGCTTTAATAGCCTCTACTTTTCTGGCAAAGCTTTCCATTAGATGATGGGACATTGCTGGGTTTGCTGCCAATCAGGTTGGATATTGATATTGGGTGATCAGCACTTGTGCAACCAACCACTTCACAGTTGAACTTGTTCCCAGACATTTTGTCCTTCACAATCACTTCACTTGTGTTTGACCAGGACAGGTCTAACAGGGCAGGTAGTGAACTGACTTGAAACTGACTGAAAATATGGCCTCCTATTATGGTGCCAAGTTGGAAAGTCACTAACCTCTGCTGTAAAACAACCACCCATTCTGCTGTTAATGTTTGTTGTGGGAGATTGTATAACAATGTACTTAATAGTTCATCTGTGTCAGTGGTGGGTGTGGATTAAAAAGGAAGTTCCTCTGATCAATTGGGGTGTCCACATACTTTTGTTCATAAAAGCAGCTTTTGAAATTCAGTATTCTTTAGTTGTTTACCTCATAATTTCCAAATGAATGAGCCACAGTTTACAAACTGTGTACAAAGATACTATTCGGAACCAGAATGAACATTCACACAGTGATAGTTGGTTTCAAGTCCGTAATTTAAACTGTAGGAAGAATAGCAATCCCACATAACCTACTCACTGCTCAAACATCTCATTATTGTGATAGGCATTTGCTCACATAATCAAGACAGACTTAATATGTATGTCCATCCTGTCAAGAACAGAAGCATTACAGGGCAGATAAAACAGGGTGGACATTTTGAGCTAAAATGAGCATTTGATGAAAGCATGATTGACAGTTAGGTAGTGGCTATCGAAATATGACAGGGTGCACAGCAATTCCAAAAACATACAAAAAATGTTTGTCATGAAAAATGCAACTAACTTATCAAGAGACGTATGAAATGTTTTCTGTAGTTTCTTTTGCAATTTTTATTTAATCATTTAAAATACATATTGAAGAAGTAAGCAACCCCTGGGACATGTGAAAATCCTCTACATCCCACCAAATAAAATGCTGCAGAATGTATAAAGTGCATTTTAACTCAAATGTCGTTGTACCGATATATTCATAGCTATGCATCCATTCATAATAGAAGCTGGGGCAAAACAGTACTTTGCGATATTTATGTAAACATTGGATCGCTTTACTGAGGACATCTAAGGCCCCCTAAACTGTGAATGACCCTTATACTTTCCCATTGCATTAAAAAATTAATAAATAAACAAAGCTGCCATCTTCTCGCAGAGGAGCGCAGGTTCGGGGGAACCTGACTGTCCTGCAGGAACGTACGCAGCTGGCTACACGATGGACGGATGGGAGAAGTGGAGGGTCGT